TGTGGAGCAGATGATATGTTTTTCAGATGTATCATCTCAAGGGGCTTTTGTTTAGACTGGACGACAAACCGTTTTCCGTACCGGTAGTTGTGGAACTTTTTACACCTAAAGACTACTGCCAACAGCTCGCGCTCAATGTTGGCGTAGCGTTGCTTGCATTCGCTCAGAGACTTGGATGCGAAAGCGATTGGTTTGTCGCGTTGAATGAGAACAGCGCCCAATCCCTTGCTGGAAGCACCGACTTGAAGAACTGATGGCTCCCTGGGATCGAAGTAACTCAAAGAAACTTCTCTCGTAATGAGTGAGATTATTCTATCGTACGCCACCTGGTGAGAGGGCGTCCACTCAAACACTGCGTCCTTCTTGATGAGTTCCCGTAGGGGTGCAGTTAGCTGAGACACATGGGGTAGAAATGGAGACAGGTAAGTAACCATACCCAGGAACTCCTGCAACTGCTTGGCTGAGCTGGGAGTGTCCATTGCCTGAATGGCTTCGACTTTGTCGGCGTCAGGGTGGACTCCGTCTGCATCGTACAGCATCCCAAAGAATTTGATCAAGGGTCTGTTAATTTCACATTTTCCGTAATTGAAGATCAGGCCTTCTTCTTTGGCGACTGACATAACCTGTATGAGGTTCTTATCGTGTTCAGCTTGGTCTCTACCGACTACTGCGACATCGTCGGCAATACCAACGACTCCAGTGCAGCGTTTAAGGATGTTGTCCATCCTCTCCTAGAAGACACCTTGACTCAAGTTGAGCCCAAATGGAAGTCGCCGAAAGCAATAGCGTCCGAGGGGCTGTTGAAAGTGGTGAGACGGCTGGACTCCTCATCTAGCTGAACTGACCAGTACCCATGGCGGGCGTCAAGTTTGGAGAATACAGTAGCACCTGCAAATTTGTGGGTGATTTCTTCCAGCATAAGAGTGCGATAGTGAGGTCTCTTTATGGCCTTGTTAAGGTCTTTTGGGTCGAGGCAGACCCGTAGTTTGCCATTGGCCTTGAGACTAAAAGCCAGACTGTTCACCCAGTCTGTAGGCTCAGAAACTTTGGCAATTACTCCAACCTGTTCCATGTTGTCCAGTTCATGCTTCAGTTCATCCTTAATGTGAATAGGACAACGTCGTGGGGCATGGACGACTGGAGGTACGGACAGATCCACGGTGATGTGGAATTTCCCTTTCAAATGTCCGATGCCTTTGAAACGGTCGGGAAACATCTGCCGGAGATCTTCCTTGCAGTTGACGACACACTGCTGAACTGCACAGTTGAGTGTGACGAGATTCAGTGCTCGTAATGTTGGAAGTCTAAGGATGGCAGGACCGCTGGAATCTGTGACGTATAATTGCGACAGGCTGGAATTGGTGTGGAATTTGCATGGTATTTTGATCACACCATACTGAGGAATCTTGGAACCATTGTAGGCAGTTAGCCTAGTAGGACACAAGGTGGTGGATCCAGTTTTTGGAAACTCCTCGCCGTCCAACTTCTCAGGATACATGCGACGGAATACTGGTAGCGGAAGCAGGTTCCCGTGTGCGCCTGTGTCGACCTTCACTCTAAGAGTGGCTGGTGTGCTGGGTTTCCTGCCCAGAGTCACGTCGACTGTAGCATATACCTCATCTCGACTGTCATTATTGACGTCGACAGATCCAAATGATAAGTTNTGATAGCGTCTAAACACAGATAAATTAATCTATGGTGTATATAACCTTTGGCTTTCAATAACAAACTGAACTGAACTGCTTCTGACCTGACAATCAATCCCAAACGACTAGTGTAGGCTAGCTAATTAATTAATTAATTAATAATTAATTAATTAATAATTAATTAATTAATAATAAATTAATTAATTAATTACTTAGGCTGGAGATTAATTAAAAGCTAGTGAACGACATTATTTTGAGGGAAAGCGATGCATGCGCAAATTCCAATCACAGTCTACGCCGCACCTCTCTATTATAACTTCTAGGTATAATACCATTAGAGCACTAAATCGCCGATCTCAGGAACTAGGGCATTCTGCTAGGCTAGAACGGTTTCCTACGATAGAGTTTGGCACAAATACGAAAATAACACGCTGTTTATAGCGCACTGCGCTACGTCATTCTGTTGCATTTTCGAATTTTTGTAATCAGAATAAGCCCCGCCTTCTTCGTTGATGGGCATGAATGGGGCGTCAACGACGTGACCCGTTACTGAGTGTAGGTGTTTGGCGATACTGTTTGCTTTTCGTAAATAATGAAAGGCCCGGCCGATGCATTTCGCACCGAAGTGGAAGAATTCGGCATTTTTACCCGCTTTCGGAAGTGAACGAGTGCGTCATTCATTGAACATTAAAGTTTTTCTTACAATTAAATAATTCCGAAAATTCCTAACCGCGCTACTCGATTGTTTTAGCCAATAAACGTAGCTGTGTGTGTGACGTCTTGCCCGCGCGCTTTATGCTTGGCGTAACGGGCCTCGAAATGGATATCGGAGGCATGCACCTCGCAACACGCGTGTTTGTTTACATATAGCTTTGTGACATCGGTATGGGCGGTGTCGGGAGTTCTGCGATGATAACCTCGTAATTTCTAAGCATTTCTTAAGGTGCATGGAACATTTTACCAATTGAGTGGTGTCAGTTAGTCACGGATATGTCACAGTAAGTACTAACCGTATATGTTTCACATACGTTCACCTATTTTGCACACAGGCGGTCGATCATTGTGAAAAATTGTGTGAAGACTTATTTTTATTGAGATGTTCCAAGTGCCTGTGCTTTCACCAGTCCTGTACGTCAATGCACGTGCGTCAAGAGCCATAAACTCAACACAATTTCATCTCTGTTATTGTTGACGCCTGAACGCGTGATTGATCAGGGAATGGGTGCATGTAAGAGGGAGACATTTTCTTTGGGGTTCCGAAAAACACAATTCCACTTGACAATTTCATGGGACATTTCAATTGGAAGCTCTGTATAATCATAAATGGACCCCCAACAAGCCATTTGACTGACTAGTCAAGAAATTCAAAGGTCTGTATATTGCTCTTATTTAGCCGCCAATAGTTCTTATTTAGAACAAAGTCTTCATTGTTGTCTTCTAAAACTACAGACCATTCGCTGACCGCTGTGGAGACGTGCGCCGGGCCTCGAATTTAGCGCACGTCTCCACTGCGGACAGCGCTTCATACTTGAACATCCCCGCGGTCGCGTGCGCATATCCCGCGTCGGCCGAAACTGCGCGTCTCATCGCGCGCAGTGCTTAGGATCAACAGCAAGGGCTGTGCCACGCAATCTTGTATCATTTCTCTCTGGATAATTGGCCTATGGCTTTCAAATTGCGTCACAAGAAAAATGAGTGATAGGCGTATGGTTACATATGTAACAAGAGTCCATAATAGTCTTTATTATGGATTCCTGATATATAAACATTGATTTGTGTGGAGTTTCATCAGAATCTTTATGTTGCAGAGAAAATGGTCGAACTTTTACGGGCGTTCAGAGCGTGGCGGCCATGACGGAACCAATACCGGAAGTCAAGTATCCGCGCACTCCTGGCTACAGACCCAAACCGCAGGACAACCCCTACAACGCATGGTATTTACCTATCTACTCCACGAAGCTAGCTCGATCCTATTAACGTAGTCATTCACACGGATAATAATAGATAAATTATGTCAATTGCATGCAGTCATAAAAACAGAACCCAAACGGACACCTAGGTCAAGTATAAGCGAGTGGCTCTGAGGTATAATGTGTGTGATGATTGTGTTTATCAGGTACTGGAGGTGCGACATCAGAGGTGCATGCACGCGGTCTGCTGGCTGGTCGCACCGTCGCCATCAAGGATAGCATCCAGGTCGCTGGTGTGCCCATGATGAATGCGATCCCCGTGTGCTGGAAGGATTCATGCCCCCATCGACGCCCACCGATTGTCCACGAGGGTACTGCGATGCTGGTGGACACATCACCGGTACATAACTAACATTAACAGTAGGCCTACGGTATTTCTCTGTAGAGCTAAATGATATTAGTTGCTCTCCTCTGTATTTCCAAGTTAACACGGAATTACTACCAAACCGTCTTACTATTTTATTTCCTCAATACGAGTCCACCATATCATTAATGCATCTACTGATCTAGTCAGAGCATCATGCCCGAAGAATTATTCCTCCGAGATCTATCCCACGATACACCGCGGCACTCAGTACGATGACGTCACCGTGTTTCCAAGGAATGGCGGCGTGTGTGAGCGACATGTGTTTGGAGTGCCAGCGGCTCCATGTGTGGGACGGGTCCTGTGAGAAACCCGCACAAGGAGGGCCATGTCACTGGAGGCTCCAGCTCAGGCTGTGCAGCACTGGTACGCAGACATATGATACCCAATATCTTTTGTAATCCTGGGGCCCGTTGTCAGAAACATCGTAAAGTTAATGCTAATGTTAATGCTACGATAACACTTACGACTAATGTTAAATGCTACGAGAGGTCTAGCCCAGTTGGACAGAAACACATCGTAGCTCACGAGCAAACTCACGATAACAGGGAACTTCATAAATTTTCATGTACACATTGGCTGCTGATTGGAATG